GGGGGCGGGGGGTTGACACTATACCTATGTAAGGTATGGCAGAGGCTAAATGAAATGATTTAGACTTTTTTCTGTCTCCAAGTGAAATTATTCTAGACAAAGATAAGTAAATATTAAGACTATTCTCACCTTATTTTAAGGGACATTTTTTAGAACTGACAAATTAGCATAATTTGTAATAAGTGTTTGGTTTTCATGGTGCACTGAACTATTCCAGAGCACCAATGAAAATATATATAATTAACCTTATTATCAGGGCTGGCCTGTCCTATCCTGCGAAACCTGAGGCTGCAGGGGGCCCCGCAGCCAAGGGACACCCTGAGTCCAGCCACTCGCCACCCTGCTGCCCTGGCTTGATATCTGGCTGCTCTTCATGTCCCCTTGCTGTTGACACCACTGCCACTGGCTTCTTTGGGCGCTTGCCACCCCCTCTCCACCACTGCCGAAGCCAGATTCTTCGCATCGGGGCCCCCAAAACTATATTTTGCAGGGAGCACCCAGAAATAGTGGGTCACCCCTGCTTATTATGCCACCCTGCTATTATCATAACTTCTTCAAAGAAGATCTAACATGCTCCATGCATTTACATTTTTGCTGTTTTTTCTCCCTTGCGTTTGTCATTACTTGCAGTCTAATTTGCAAATATTGGAGTAATATCAGTATTAGAGAAGTGCCAGTTTCTATAGTTATATATCCAGTTTTGGTGTGATCCTGGGATTTGACTTTCTTTTCCCTTATATTAGTTTTACACCACTGATGTCTACACAGCTAGAAAGGTGGCTGTACAATGAGCAACTGAGAACAGAAACATGCCACTAAGCCAATTTTTGCCCAAGTTTAGCAAGTTGTCTCTGCAAGATACACAAGTTAGTCTCTTACATTGTTTAGTCAGAAGAGCCTCTGGCAATCTGCTGATGAAATCTAGTGAGAATGAAGTTGATTATTAAATCACTTTAGTAATAAATGTTTAGTAATGAATGTCATAAATGTTCAACCCTATATTATTTCCTGTTTCACAAGTGTAAGCCTGTGATAGTTAACCCACATCTCAAGCACTCATTTTTAGAGAAGTGATAAAGCATAACAATCTGTATCCTATGAAGGATAATCTAATTTATCAAGCATACTGTGAAAAATATGCTTAATCATATTCACACGATATTTTGCAAAGTTAAAAAAGAAACAATAATATTAATGGAAGAATGGACATTTAAATGCTTATCAGAGCTAGGTCTTTGTTGTGTGACAAAACCATAAGGTGCTGGGGTGCTGCCAGAGATATACCCTGTGTTTGTGTAAGCTTACTGGTCCCTCCCTCTGCTGAATGGGTATGTCCAGGTTACTAATTTATCCAGAAATCATGACTTACCACAGGCACTTTGGTAGGCACAAAAGGGCAGAATAACAACTCTACCATAGGCACAAAGGACAAAGTAACAAGGAAGAACAAATTACATGAAAAAGAAAAAACGATCAAATGTTTTGACAACAGAGTAAGGTAAAACAAAACTGACAAAATCCTAAACTTATGTTCAAACTACCACCTAGCCCTCATAGAAGTTCCTGTGAAAATCTCCAGGGGTCAACCGCTGAGTCACAGCTAGCTCCCTGAATCAGGAACCTCCAGTCCATTCCTCAAAAGGACCCTCCCTCTTGACACACCCTCCCTGCCACTGCCTCTCTTCTCCCCCCGCCCTTTTCAGGGAGTCAGAAAATCCAGAGCGCTTCTGCCTGTAGTTCATGACCTATGTAAATTATAAATACTATCGGTTATTGATTCTCTTTAGGGCATAGAAGTTATTCAAGTAAAATCTACTATTGCAGTCATATCACATTTCCAAAATGTCACCTTCAAAATTGCCAGCCAAATAGCAGGCCTGTAACAGCAGGTTTTATTATACAGTGCACTCCATTTATATGCATACTGGGTATGCATCATCTGCTTAACTGCATAACACAGTACCAATCCTAATGTGCACCCCAAAAAACAGCAGCTCTCTGCCTATTCGTTTAGTGCAGTGTTTCTCAACCCTGCTTTAGCACCCTGGGATACTAGGTGATCCTTCTAAGGGTGTCACAGGGTGCAGCACAAAATTAGCACTGTCAGGTGTGGAAGCACCTGCACATGATTCACAAGAGAAACCCTGAGATATGAATAGGCATGTTTGACCTACTGTGGTCTTTCTATGCAACAGAAGAATTGCCCTAATTATTTTTCTGCAGTCAAGAAGTGAGTGAAAGTTAAAGAGCTGGGATTTTCTGAGGAGTGCCTTGAGTCTAATGAGGGCAGAGAACCCTGAGTCTGAAAAGGCTGAAAACCACACATTGCATGCAAACACTTCAGGCACATAGCATCTTTTAGCCATCCTCCTGTCTACTTTGTTACTTTGTTGGCCATACTGGCAGTAACTGTCCACTCTGTTAACTAATTGCACCTTTTTAACTGCCACCATAACACTGTGAGGGGGAAGCGAGAACCACAGGATTTGGCTGGTTTCACTGCTGTGCTTTTCAAAGCTTCTAATAGCAGGTGGGCAGTGACTATTAGAAACCTGGGGAATGAGGGTAGCTAGCCAGTCTGGGGACTTTTACATTAAGTCTGCCTAAGCATATGTTTCAAGTTAGGGCAGGGCTTAGTGCCATGGTTAAGAATACTCCTGGCATGCCTCCTGTACCGGGAATCCTGTACAGGAGGGAGTCTCGCAGTGTCTTTTACAGAGACTGCATATGGGAGAGACTGCACACTGAAAGTCCTGGTATTTGGGGCCTTTTTAAACAGGGATGGCCTTAACTATAGTTAAAGTAGCTAGAACAAGGGTGAGAATCTCATTGTAGGATTCTAACACATTAGCTAACATGTTAAAACTACATTTAGCCTCCTTCTCCTTTCCAGTGTACATGAGGTTGTGGATCTTAGAAACAGGAATTCAGGCCAGTTATGCTAAGGCTCAGGTTAGTCCTTATGTATATTTTCTAAGATGATCTCTTATAACCTAGAGCTGAGATCATTTACTCATAGGGGTGCATAGGGGTTAGAGCTGAGCAAACTTTACTCATTGTAGGGGTGTAAGTTGTAGCTGTGTTGGTCTAAAGACATAGGCAGACAAGGTTCTTTGGGTAAATCTCATATCTCGTATTGGTTAGTCTAATAAAAGATATCGGATTTACCCAAAGAACCTTGTCTGCTTGTTGGAAGGAGCGCTTATCTTCATAATCAGCCCCACTGAAGCAAATGTAACTACTCATGTGAGTAACAGTTCACCAAAATGAACAGGCACTGCCCATCCACTATTAGAAGCCTTGCAAATGTGGGAAGATGCAGCCCCACCAGCTCCTGTCCTTCTCAAAGGATCTAAGGAGGCTCTAAGCTGCTTCTCCCTTCACCACCCCTCAGTAAGGATACCCATTATCAGTTGCTTCTCTCCTCCTTCCCCCCACCCCATGTTACTAGGGCAGGATTATTTCCCTTGGATCACTGCTTGAATTGGGCCTGAAGCAAAATAATATGCAATCAAGTTGTGAAGTACTGGCAATGCTGCTGCTGTTGTGTACCTGCAGAAACCTAGAAAATGACAGTTGTGCTGTATTTCTTGATTGCACTTCTTTTAGGAGGAAAAAAAAAACCCAAACAAACCTATGGTTATGATAGTGGAAAGCTGGAACAGGCAAGTGGTGCATCTTGAAGGTTAAAACCGTCTAGACAAGAATACATGGGGAAGAGGCAGGTGAGGATCAGACCCCCACCCTTGTGTACATGCCACGGGGCATTGGCAACACATAGGGGGTGCATGTGAGTGCACGCACACCCCCTGAGCGTGCTGGTGCACTCCTTATGAAAAGGCACCGCCAACACTGTTGGCAGTGCCTGTGGACAGTCGTTGCTCACCACTCCCCCCTGACAACGCCAGCAGTGTCTGTGGGAGCTCACCCGTTGCCGCTGCCACCACCAGCACTGCCATGCCCCTCCAGCCTCCGGGGGCATGCGCCGTCCATGCCACAGGGGTTTAGGTCATTGAAGCGGTGTTTTTTAAAAACCCACCATTTCAATTTAGGGGGAACTAAACCAAATCCAGCCGCTGCGGCATATACAAGCAGCCCATATATCCAGGCTTCTTCGCATATGCACACATTTTTTTTAAGCCGTTTGTGCCCACAAAGCACCATTTTTCCAACTACTCAGCTGGGCTACTGAAAAAGAACCTATTGACCCTCAAGAGCCTTGCCTGACCACTCATGATTTAGAAGCGGGCCATGAGTTCAGTTCCCTTTTGACCGGGGTGGGCTGGGCAGCCTTGCAGCTCGGGTCCCCGTAGCTCTCTCCGCCAAACCAGGCCCCAGCAGGTTTTCAGCCCGCCGTCCTCTCCGAGGTTGCAAGAGATGGAGAACAAAACCCAGCCTGCTCAAAACTTGTTGGGGAGGGAAGAAAAGTTTTCAGGACGCCGCGCAGAGCAGGGCTCGGGCACAGGCAGCAGTTCCCCTCTGCTTTGATTTCGTCTCCG